GGGGGGAGAAGGGATGAATAGGCTGAACACAGAGGGTTTCTGTGAAAATACTTTATATGTTACTATAAAGAGGATATGTTTTATCACACATTTGTCCAAACCAACAGAATGCACAGCACCAAGAGTCCTATTAGGGACTATGGAGTTCAGGTGATTATGAGAAGCTCCATGTACGTTCATCTGTTGTGACAAATGTACCACTCTGGTGAGGGGGTGTTGAAAATGGGAGAGGCTACTCACCTGTGGAGGCAAGGGTTAGATGGGAAATCTCTGTGCTTCCTTTTTAATTTTGGTGTGAAACTACAATTGCACCATCCCAAAAAACTCTTTTTGGTTTTTTTTTTTAAAGACTTTAAAACAAGACCAAGATTTGAATCTACCCAAATCAATGTAGATTCAAATTATTACACTGAACTAATGAACGGACTGAGCTGGTTTACTGACTACCATCAGTAAACTCTCTGCACTTGGTTCTTTTTTTTTTTTTAAAATAATACATTTTATTTTTATATTCCCCATACAATTGCAACCCCCCCATTCTGACCCCAATCCCTCCCCTCCTGCCCCCCACCCCCCAAAAAGTGTCTCTGGTTCATAGTTTTTTGTTGATTTTGATTTTCACTTTCTTATAGTTATTCATTTTCCTGGTCCCTTATTTAAGTTTTCTAGATTCCTGCTATGAGTGAGACCATCCGGTATTTTTCTTTTTCTTTCTGGCTTATTTCGCTGAGCATGATCCCTTCCAGCGCCATCCATGTTGCTGCAAATTGCATGTGTTTATCTTTTTTGAATGCTGAGTAATATCCAAATGCCCAAAAATAGATGACTGGATCAAGAAGATGTGGTACATATATACCATGGAATATTACTCTGCACTTGGTTCTTATGGAAATTTTGATTAGGGTCATAATGAAAGAAAATGTGGAAGAAAGGAATTTTAATAAAGATTTTACAGAAAGAGAGGTAAAAGAACACCTTCTGAAGTTCCACTAAAGAAAAATTCAGGTACTACAATAATAAGGGACAATAAAACAATTTTTTAAAGATTTATTTATTTATACAAAAACTGGGGTACAGGCCAGAGGTGCAGGAGGGTGAGAAAATTCACCAGAGACAGAGCGGGGAATTGAAGAGGCAGATGACAGGAAACACTGCTGAGGGCAACAGCAGGCAAGACAGAAGAGGTCTGCCACACTATGTGGGTATCTCCCTGGCTGGCCAGGAATGGAATCCATGCTGCAAAGGCTGTGGACAGCTTCACAGCACTGTGCTCAACCTGCTGTGCCACCAGGGAGGCCCAATAAGACAATTTCATCCATAACAACTCAGGACAGGAAGGAGTAAGGCAGATGGAAGAAAGCAATTTTTGATTAATATAAGTAAAGGAGCTGAAATAGGTAAAAGAAAACCAGTTCATTCATCTGTGGGTTATTCATTGAACTGTGTCTCTGCCAGGCAAAAGGTACACAAATGGTCCTGCCTCAGGAAGCTTACATTTTAAAGCAAGGAGACAAACACTAAACAGGAAAGAATACTTGGGGCTACATATGGATGAATGCTGTGGGGTTACATGTGGGTGAGTGCTATGAAGGAATCAAAAAGAGGCAGAAAACAGAGATATGTGGGCAGGTGCAGAGTTTAGAACTGGTTTGGCACCCCTGGGCAAGGTCAGGTTAACAAAATGACCTTGGTCATCATGGTGAAGAATTTGGATTTTATTAGTTATTATCTTCAACAGAACAAATTCACCTGTCACCCAAATCTAAATTCACTTCTATGTGAGAAACAATCCTAAAGATCATAACAGGACAGCATCGTTTTATATCAACTTCAGTTAACTATTTTTAATTATTACCAATTTCTTCTCCAAAAAGTCATGTACTGCCTTCTAGTTTGAAATCTCTATGATATGGTAACATAAAGAAGAGAACATTTGAGACAAAAACAAAATCATAAGTGGCAAAAATGGCGTAGGCAGGATTTTCTGAATGTCTGCAATTTTTTTTAAAGTTGGTTACTAAATATTTTATACATTATGATAGAAAGAAAGCTTTGAAACAGATATTATATAAAAAGGCAAAGATACATTAAGTAATTATCTGAACACTATAAAAGCAGTAAGTAAAAAGTCATATAAAATTGAAGCTAGAAACTCTGGCAATAGGTAACAAAATGCCATTTTACAAAAGATCTAATAGAAAAAATGTTCTTTCATCATGAGCAACATTCCAATCTCTTACAAGCTTGTGAAAATAAGTAGTCATAGTGAGATTAATTTTTAACGTTAAATCTTGCTACATCTTGATATACAGTTGTGTTCAGCTTGAAATAAAGTAACTTCATTAAATTGATTATTAAAAGTTACAAACTCAAAGTGAATAATCACAAACAGGTAAGCAGACATTTTTGGTTTTTTAATGAACTTACAGGTAATGTGTCAATTATTTATTAATATCCTATCTTCAAAAGATCTCTAATTTAAGGAGTAATTTCTGTATATGACCTAACATAATAGCTCAAAGAGAAAATGTCATACTTCCTATGCTGTTGTCTATTTGAAAAATATAAACAGTTAAAAGTTTTAATCATATAGAAAATATGCCTAAGATTTTGACTTTATGTATGCAAAATAGTTCCTTTTTTCTGTCCTCCCCCACTTTCTTTGACCACCCATGAAAATAAATCGAAGCAGTTTTCTTTCTAACATTCCTATTATTTGACAACTTTTGCTAATTGCTTCCAGGATTCTCAATCATCTAACTCAGTGATACACTGTTTTTTACAAATCTTAAAATTCAGATTTGAAAAATTAAATATGTATTTGTTTACTTAGGGAATCTATAAAAGAATTTAAGAACACACACACACACACACACACACACACACATGACTTTTACATGGGGAAACCACTGATTAAGTCCAGTGTCTGATTGCTTACAAAATGAGTCATTCAGTCACCACAAATTCCCTTGTGGGAAGAATGTGTAAAAGGCTTCAAATACATGGAGACCCCCAGGAAAGACATATATTAAAATAAACAAACATATTAGAAAGGTGATGATTCTTCAAGTAAATATGACAACCCCATTAAAATGTAACACACTTTTTTTTTCCCTGAAAAAAGGAAATCTAAGAAGATGAAATAGATGCTTTATATAAAATATTTACATATACAATGCACAAAACCCACTATGGTTAGTAACCTTTATGGCTTTGAAGAACTACATATTTACATATCTTTCTTTCTGCATGTGCGTGTGCGTATGTGTGTTTTGTATATATTTTTAACAGTTGACAGCTGTTTTAGAGCATACAGAGATGCCAAGCTGAATGAGGGTCTTGATTACTTCAAGATTAGCTATCTAAAGTTTCTATTCATTTTAAGTGTTGTTAGTTGGAAGAGTCATTAGTCACTTCCTTGTCTCATAGAACATCAGCATACATTTACATTGTTAATGAACATTTGGGGTAAATGAATTAATGGCACTTTTAAACATCAATTCAGTCCTAATAACTTTGTATGTCATAGAAATGTTAGGCTAGGATATAAACGAAAAGCTTTTTCAGTAAAGGTAACTACTCATTCCTCCAAACAATAAAGGATAAAATTAATTAAAAATTTTTTTTTAACTGGGCTTAAAAAAAAAAAATCTTCAAAATTTAATGAAATAGACCTGAGAAAAATGTGTACTTAAAAAACAAAAACCCTCTGCTCAAAAATAATCATATAAACCCAGAAATATCATGAAAAATTTTGGTGAAATTAATTTATATTATATACTTATAACACAAAAACATTCACTTTTTAAAATACCTATTATAGAGAAGTGCTTGCAAAATATATTTAATTATAGGTGTTTCTTTTGGCATCACATTTAAGAAAAAAAACATCACTAGGAAAGATTTCTATCCAATGAAATCTTAAAATACTGAAATGGGACAATAATCATCTTTTCATATTATCAAAACCTTAAACAACAGCTTTTTGGAGAACATCTAGTTAAAAGCAAATATAAAAAAAATAAAATCTCAAAAATAAGTTCAAGGGCAAGTACTATTTTCATTAAAACTAACTAATGGCATTTTATGATGAAGAAGGTATTTAAGATGCACAACATAAACACATAAACATACTCCATAAAGCAACTGAAAAAATATAAATAGCCACTTTAAGAATCAATTATTTTTTTTAAATCCCAAAACATGAGTTAATGGCAAACCTGTATAATGATATAGGGGGAAAAAAGTTATTTGAAGCACGCAAAACACATGTGAATTATTTTATGTATTTTATGAGTGAAAAATCACAAGTAGTTAGAATCAATGAACTAACTTTTTGAAATATTTAACAAATTATTTAAAATATGGGTAATATTTCAAAAATTCTCACAGACGATTTCCTTCCAAGATATATTATTATTAATACTGTGAAAATAATACAGAGTTGTAATACATACCCATTTGACAAATTTATTTCTAGGGTAGATCCTTAATATAGTTTTTCTTTTATAATCTCTTTTAATAATTTCAATGCCCAGACTTAGTATAACACAAATTTAATTATCAAAAAAATAACAAAGAATCAGGCAAGTCTTTTTCTTGAAAGCCACCTCAACTTGGGGGTGGAGGGTGTGGAGAAAATCCCTGCAAAATCAACTCTAAAAGCTCACACTTCACTAAAAGATGCTTGACAAAGGCTGTTTTGCAATATCTTTATCGTGAAGTAACTATTTAAGCTTACAGTTTTTGTGTTTTTTTTTTTTAATAAAGAATGACAGTACATTAAACATTTGCCCACTGCTTCTGTCTGTAATTGAAAGTTGATGTTTTGTGGTATTCATTAGTGTAGGGTAGCTCTACGTCCATGCAGGAAAATGTTTTTAAAACAGGCTCTGCTCCGCTTTAGTAAGAAAATCACACACATGGGGGGAGCGAAGATAACGGGGTACCTTCGGCGTGGTTACCAGCAACTGCAGAATGCATCTGTGTGTAAAACTCACCTCCAGACTTGTTTGAGTAACTGGACAAGGGGTCGACGCCCACTTCTTGTTCTTCTGATTGAAGAGGATGTCTAGCTTCAGACAAGGAATGATACATTGTTGGAACAGGACAGTTTCATCAAAAGTGACCACCTGGGAAGGAAAAAATATAAAGAAAAATGACTTTTTTTCTTTCTGCTATGACTGGGAATACATACAAGACTAAAATAACTGACCATTACATACATTATCCACAGGCTCCAGGACTGTGAATACACTTGGTAGGCATACCCAATGAAGCCAGAGTAGCAAAAAGTTTCCATTTTTAATAATTTCCCCCAAAATCTTAACTTTATAGGTATACTTTACCTCAATGTTCAAGCGCATTTATTTCAATAAATTTTTGCACATGATAAACTGTAAGTTGTCACGCATAAAATCCTTTTGTTTTATCAAAATAATACTTTTGACAGTATAAACATACAAATTTAGAAAACAAAAAACTAAAACCATACATTATATTTATACATTGTAGTTCATATATCTTTTATCTTTTTTCTGAATATTTAAAATATGTTTTTAAAGTGATCCATCATGCTAAATATACTGATTATAAAGATTGCCATTATAAAGATTGCCATATTATCAATATTATCATGTCTAATGGATGCCTAAAATTCTATTATATAGCTACTTCAAGTTACATAACTAATTCCTTATTAGAAAACAGATGCTTTCAGTTGTTCAATACTATAAATAGCCTCATAATGCATATCTTTCATTATCATGGTATCATATCCACGATTATTTACTTAGGGTAAGTTTTATAATTACTGAGCCAAAACATGTATTAAAAATAAGATCTGGGGATAAATTTTGGCAAATTAGAAAGAACTGTACATAGTAGAACAATTCATTTCCCCTGGAACTGCATTAGCAATGGGAATAATTAATTTGATTTTTTCTTTTGAAACACAGTAATGGTAAATTTTATACTGCCTTTGCTTGATAACAAGTGAGATTACAAGGTAAGAAGACTTCATGTTTTCTCTGATATTTGCTTATTGTCTTTTGTGGAAGGAGTTTATTATTATGATTATTTTCATAATTTGTAAGTATACTTTAATATTAAAGGTATAAAACCTGTGTCATAATATACATGTATTTTTCTTAAAGTGCATCTGTCTTCAAATTATATGGCATTTTTGTGACAACAGTTTTATTTTTCCACATCCAAATATATCTCGCTTTCTAGCTCTGGTGTTATGCTTACAAAGGGGAGACTATATAAACACAAATATCACACACAGACATACATATTTTTCTTTTTAAAGGCCTTCCTGTTAAATTCTCATTTCTATAAATAATTCCAATTTCAAGAAATACTTTAAAATACAATATATTGATGTTTATATAGTCATTCAAGATGTTCAAAAACATTTAATGTCTTTGATTCCTGAAGGAAAATTAGGTTCAAGAAGTCATTCAGTGATTTTAACTTTAACAATTCTTTAGAAACTGACAAGTCTAAGGTAATACATAATGAATAGAATAGAAAATTAACCAACTACACCAGTCTGCCACAATTCTATACAATCAGGCATCCTCTATAACTTATCATATTTATCAATTCAAACTGAAACACAAACATGCTTTTATAATTAAATAAAGCAAACCTGCTTAATAGGAGCAATGAGTTGTTTTCGTGAAATCTGTTGAAAAAGTTTGCATGATGTTCTTTTAATTTAATGAATTTCAATAATAATCTAGTTCAAAAGTAACTTACTAAGCAGGTGCCACTTTTTTTGTTTGTTTGTTTGTTGTTTTGGTTTAAATACAAAGGGCTATTTTAGCTTTGAGGAATAAAAAAACTCTTAAGTGTGTTGGCTACTATTACTGTGATTACCTTATATTACCTTATAAAATCATAGTATGATGTTGCTTTTAAATGTGAAGTAATTTTCTTAAAAATTTTTCAATTTCTGGTCCATGAATATATGAGGAGAAAATGTTTGACTACTGTAAAGCAGAATATCCATGGACTTTAAACAACTCTATTTTAATCACTATTATGAATAAATATTTTACCCATAGGAGTATATTTAGTAAAAATTCATACAGAATTAAGGAAATTTTTTTTGGTTTACAAATTTTAAGATAATCACTGTGAAATTCAGAACAGCATGAACATTTTATAACCCCTATTGAGCCATAACACCTTATATTTGTATTACAAATTCAGACATCTATACTTGTATGCCTTAATCTTCTATACACAAGGCCTATATATTTACAGTGACCAAAAATATATACCTTAGTGAAAATGACTACACAATGCCATAATTGATGGATTTCAAGATTTTTAAATAATGCCAAGCTATCTCTAAAATTTCTTTGATTGACAAAAATGCTACTCAGATTTTTAAGAAATAAAGGTAATCCTGTCTTTCTATTCAAAAAGCACAACAATGTAACTCCCAAGACCTGAGAAAGGTGACACTCCTTCTCTGCTACACTTATTTTAAATAACAGTTAAATTTTCCTACTTCATATGAACTCAAAATTCACAAACTCAAAACTAGTTTTGTAATATAGTTTTACTGCCATCCAGGTCACAGGAATTGATACATTAGGCAGAAACTGCCATTTAAAATCAAAAACTGAACTTAAGGACAAGTTGTATTGGTTTCACAAACTGATTCTTTTGGCATTAAATCTTCAGACAAAAATGATCTATCTAAAAGAAGGAATGTCTCATGAAAATAGTTAATATTTTACCAAAGGGCAAGAGTCTAGCAAGAAAGCTTAGAAGACAGTTTTAAAGATTAAATGAAATTTCAAAACAATACTTCCATGTAAACTGAAGTGATATGAGCAGTTTTAAAGTGAACTTCAAATAATTAGCATTGCACAAATAAAATAACTGAATGAAAGGATCTCAAAATGGCATCACATAGACAAACCTCCAGAAAAATAATTTATTCCCTCTGAATCTGAAGTTCTGTGTATTTCAGCTTGTATTCATTCTTTCACTGTTTCTAATACATAGGCATAGAATTAGCATTCTGAATTGTGTGTTCTAAAGACATCCATATTCAGAAAAGCTCATATAAGCATACTTCATTCATTTAAATTCTTGACTGATGGTAAACTTAAAAGTCAAACACTGAAATGACAGAGTAGTATTACTTTACATAAAGATATCTCCTATAAGAAAAGCATATCAAAGAGCTTAAATAAACTATTTCCAAAGAATGATTATAAAAGGAGAGGACCTAGTATGAATAAATATCTGTTATAGATAGCATGCATTTAGCATGTTAAGTATACAACCTAAAATATGACATCTTGGTTATAAAGCAAGAAAATTTGATAAAAGCTGTATTTTCATAATTGAAAGAGTAATTAAACATTATAAGATTTGGCAAAGCCTTTTTTATTTAGAAATGTTGGAAACTAATGGTTTGAGTTGATTAATGATTGGGAGTAATGATGTTCTAAAGTCTTAACTACAAGGGACAGAAAGGTAAGAAGAGAGGAAGAAAGGAAAAACAGTGAAAGAAAACAAAGAGAAAGCATCAAGTTTCCATTTTTAAGTTCTGCCAATCTTTAATGCAAGAGGGTTACATTGGACTTTAACTAAGTTAATTAAGTATTAAAATCAATCATCTGAAAGTCTTAATATTTAATATTGGTTAGATTGTATATCAAAGTAGTTTTATTATTTATTTACTCCAAACCTTTCCAGAATACTTCATCTGACAACAGGGGGTCTGTTTCTCACAAGACAAATGCATTTACAATGCCAAATAAATTATATATAAAAGCATTTGTCTTAATACATGTCATTCAATATTAAATATCACCCATTGGTAAAATCCTGAAACCCTAATTCATTCTTACCAACTACACAACTGTACTATTAAAGTGTTGTCTATTAAGAGGGATAGGACTACAATAATGGTCAAAATGCTAAGAACAAAGATGAAAAGAAAAACTGAGATTTAAAGTGTGTAATTTTCAAGCTATCAAAATAAGTTGTTTAGAGTACACAATCTATCACAAAAAGACAGATTCATTAAGCATATATATAATCAAATTGTACAATATATAAAAGGTACACAGATGGGTTTAAATGTTGCAGATTGCAAAATAAGAATATATTTGGCTTTCAATATTCAAATGCTCTAAGTTCATAGAAAGTGACAATTGTGACCATCTAAACCATGAGAAATTTGAGCATTATAAACTTTGACCAAACCAAAAGTTCTCCAACATGTACTTTCTATGGTTTCCAAGTTCTCTGCACAGATTGGGGAAGTAGCTTAGTTAGTGACCAAACCTTTTAGTATTATACAGTCACACAAAAGTATTTCCAATTGTTACTGCCCTATTTCATATAGATACCACCTCTAGCCATTAGACTTCAGTCAGGTTTTCATAAAATCAAAGTAAATGTTACAATGTTACAATTCTTCTTGAATTCCTAATTGGCCAATTATATTAAATTAATGACACTAAGAATAAGAAAAAGAAAAAAATAGCCACTCTTCACATAAGCATCAAAACAAATCATACATTTTGTCATAAAACAAACAAACAAACAAACAAAAACCTCCCTTTGGTGGAAGCCACCCACTAAGAAGCATCACCTGTTCCTCTTTAACCAAAGCAGCTTACATAAAAACATTTATAACTCTCCTCCTCCACTTTTATCCACATGTCTTTTCTTCCTAATGAGGGCTTCACTATTCGCTTTTCTAAATCATAGGATTTAGAACTTCTCCTTTGTGGACCAGCACCAGAAGCAAGTTCTCGCTGCTCTTCTGTGGGATAGTTCCCTCACTGTGATGTAATAACATAGGAGCCTGCATAGCAATATTAAGCAATAAATGCTAAAAGTTTGAATGTGAAGAAGAAAGTTTATTCTGCCTTTCTAACAAAAGCACTAGCATAGATTCTTCTTTTAAGGAAAAGGAATGTGATGGAAGATACCAGTAGGAAGTTAATACTTTTTATTCTACTTTTTACCTCCCCTTTGGTTTATGACCATTTCTAACACCCTAATCCTAGCTTTCATCTCTTGCCTGAACTCTGGAAATACACTTCTAATTGGTCTCCTAGCTTTCCTTCTTCCTCCCTGTTGTAAACAC